TTCCCAGTCCCCACCCCCGGCCGTGTCGAAGGAGGAAGTGGTGGCCGGGCCGCCGATGTGCCTCGGGCGGGCTGGAAAGAGGGAGCGGTAGCCGAAGAAGGCGACGGCAACAGGATCGGCGGCCGCGCGGGCGCATCTTCCGCGTCCCAGGTAAGAGGCGCGTCAACTCCCTCCTCCCGATGACCGTAGGGCAGGGGAGTTTCCAGCCTTTCCTCTGCCCCGATGCCGTTTTGAAGGTTGCGTCTCGCTTTTCCTAACGCCCAACTCCCGTGCAGACGTTCAGACGTTACTGGAACGAACGCGGGCGCCCTAAGTAACGCGCCCCCCCGTTCCTGCGCAGTCCTGGAACGTCCGTCCGGAGAGAGTTCGTTCAGGGGGGACTGACTGCCGAGGGCGAGGAGTACGGAAAGCTGTGTCTTGATGGGGGAGTTTTTTTGTTTGTTCCTTCGTTTGTTTTAAGAAAGCATTTTGGAATGTTTTTTTCTGGGGAGGGGCGCTGGAGGGGCGCTGGGCGCATAAAGTTTAGTCCGCTTCTTGTGAGTTGGTTTTGCAGAAGAGGGGAGGAGTGGGGTTGTGTTTGCTCTCGCTGAAGAGCAGGAGAAAAGGAGGAGGAAAAAAATTGGCGGACGGGGGGGGGGGGAAGGCCCGGGTTGCCAGAGAAGGCGGCTGCTTTGCCCTTCGAAAATAAGATTTATTCCATCCGGCGAGGTTCAGGTTTCCTTGGCGCCTCGCCCTCAGCTTTCATAAACGGCCTCCCTTTTCTTCTCATTTAGGCGCCCCTCTCTCCCAAATTCACCCCTTGCAACTTTTTAAAATCCAGGATGGTGAGCTGATCAAAAAAATGGGCAGTCTTTCGGAGCCCAGCCCGCTTTTCCTCTTCCACGTGTTCTCTCTGGGTTGCTGTTCACCCAGGGTGCCTTGACAGGCGCCAGTACAACCGGTGAAGTGTCCCTGCCCGCCTACTCTCTGCTGGGCAGAGCTTTCTGCCTGTTTAATTTCTTTCTTTCTTTCTTTCTTTCTTTCTTTCTTTCTTTCTTTCTTTCTTTCTTTCTTTCTTTCTTTCTTTCTTTCTTTCTTTCTTTCTTTCTTCCTTCCTTCCTTCCTTCCTT